GGGGCGCAGCCACCTCGGGTCCCCTCCGCAGCCCCCTCCCGCCACACAAAGGCAGATTGCATTGTGGAATGTCGCTCGGTGTTGGCACATGCTGCTGTGTTTATTTTCTGTGGATCCCCTGTAGGAATATATGACACAAAAAAAAAAAAAAAAGGAAAAAAAAAAAAAAAGGAAGAGAAAGGAAAAGCTATCCCTTTTGATGTAGACAGTATTTAACCGTACAAATTTGCACTGCAAGAAAATCGAAGTTTACATAAACAAATTCCGGCAGGGCAGGCACCGGCAGGGCAGGGGCAGGTACCGGCACCGGCAGGGCGATGCGGTTGGCACAAAACTCCCTTTGCTGGCTGGTTTTTTTTTTTTTTTTCCCCTTCCTTTCCGACCTTAATTTTGCAAATGACTTGCATTTTCCACGGTGAGCGTTAGTCAACCAGTGACCGGTCTACAACATGTTCCTGTGTTTTAGCCTTTGCTTTATGTGTATATGTGAACTTTTGTTATAAACAAAGTCTTCTTAAATATGTGTAACGCTTATTTTCTCCTTTTACCGTAGCAAAAAAAAAAAAAAAAAAGAATGCGTATATCTGTATGTATGTATACATATGCCCGCGTGCATAGACGTACATATATACACATATATATATATTTTCTCTATATATACACATACATATGCACCGCCAGCTCCCATTCTCCAGAGACGTGACTCTCCTAATTGCTTAATATACGCCTTCAACGGCAAGAGTCCAGTTTGGAGAAGGGAGAATAATGCAAATCGACAAAGTAAACTTCATTTTCAGGCAGTGTGTCCGGGGGCCGAGGCGCAGCCAGAGGGGGAGGGGGAAAAAAAGAATATATCTCTATATATTTATATGCAGCCCTTCCAGATTGTGTCAGTGCGGGCGAGCAAGGCCCGGCGTGGGAAAGGCGGAGACGAAACAACGCTTTTCCAGAGTTTTCCCGGAGAAAGTGGCACTTCCTTGAGAGGGACAGGGGATTATTTAGCTTCACCCCCATCCCACCCCCCCCTCCAAGCTCCCTTCCTTTCCCCTTTCCCCC